AGGCGAACAAACAGTGGAAAAGCGAAACAAAAAACGAAATAAAATAATAAATATGGGCATAAAAAAAGGGAAATATTTTCAATATATTTGTGCAGAGCTTAAAACAAAAAAAAAAGGAAGCCAGAACCAGAAACGACAATGCGAGTGAAAAATGCAGCAACAGCGGCTCCAACCATTTTTAATTTATTTTTCCACTCCCGCTGCCGCTGCTGCCGCTGTTGTTGTTGTTGTCGCCCAACATTTGCCGACATCACACATACGCACCATTGGCCCCAGCGTCTGTCCTGGGGTTTTTTATGGTCACCACTGCCGTCGCCGCCGCCGTCGCTGCTGCAGCTGCAGCTCCCCCAACCCCAAAATCCTCGACCACCCACCACCCAACCACCCAGCAGCCCATCGATGGAGGCAATCAGTGCACCTATGTACCCTGATCCTGGGCATCCCTGCTGCCCGGCATCCTCGACAGGACATTGCTGGCCCGTTTGCTTGCACGCGTTTTCGCATTTGGGCATCTCTCTTGCTTTTTGGTTATTTTTTGAGCGTTCGCTCGTTCGCCCGCCCGTTCGTTGGAGGCCAATGGTGGCCCTGGTCGTTCGTGTTGGAGCGGTACCGTTATATATTTTTATATATTTTATTTTTCATTCGCGCACGCATGCAATAAAACTTGTAAAAAACGCGCTGCCGCCGCAGTCCGGGGAAAAAACGAACAAGAGGTAAATAATGTACAGGCGAAACATTGCGAATGTGCATGGATATGTGTGTGGATATTTTTGTGTGTATGTGTGAGGGGATTGGCGGGGGAGGGGGCTGGGGATGCAGACAGATGGGCGGCCAATGCGTTGCATACTTTTAGGCGCATCGATGCATCCTTACAGGAGGAGAAACCAAGGGGGGTCGGCGGCATTTTTTGCAGCATTTGGGGCGTTGTCGTTTTTATTCGTTTTTTGTGCGTGCAACGGGAAGCTGAAATAATGCGCTGTACTGGCACTTTTGACAACAACACCAATGTTAATAATAACAATAACAGCAACAACATGGGAAGCAACAACAACAAATAATTGAAACGCTGGCAGCGCTGCCAACATCGCCCTCGTCCGCTGCAGGTTCCGTTCGCTTTGTGCGCTTTTTAAATTGCAACTGAAATATGCGTTAATTTATGTTGCGTTGTTAAGCTTACACCCCCTGCAGCAGCCGCCCCCTTTTACGACCCACCCCCACCCCCACATCACGCCACATCGTCAACTCTTTTTTTGTGCGTAAAATTGCGCCTTCCCTTTAACGAATAATGCTACTCCCGTTGACCCTCCCCCTTCATTCCCCCCGTTAATGCCTCATTATCTGCCTGTCGGAGCCGACAACGAATCAGTTTTTCCAGCTGCAGGCCCACAGTTGCCCCCACTCTTATTTGCAGTGCATTTTACCAAAAGGAATTACATAACCCTGTCGTTGCCTTTGTTTCCACTTTTTAAATCTCTAGAATTGGTCAGAAACAATTTAATAGTTTGCCAAACAATCCATTATTATCAATATTGATTTTTGTTAATTGAACAAAAATTCAGGGTTTTCAGAACTTTTAAATCCAGTGAAGGTTTGCTCTTAACTTGTTTAAGGTTAACTAAATCAATTTAATACTATTATTATTATTTTACATAATAAAACTAGTCTTATAATATCAAAAGATATAGAAGTCTAAACTGCGGATATCGGACATGTATTTTTACCGAAAGCTAAGTCTTATTTATTTCAATATTGATTAGGAGAGTAACGGGCATCTTCCTTCCTTTTTATCCTTTTAATATCTCCTCTAAAATCCTGAAAAATATCCCAAAATTCTTACCCCGTAACAGGCTATTGAAATGGGAACAGGTTTGCGATTCCGCCTCAGAAAATAAAAACTCTCATGGTGGCAAAATGTGTGGACTTTTTATTGGTGTCCTTTGGCACAGCATCATCAGCAGCAAGATCACTGCAATACACAGGCCATACAAATGGAAAGGAGTTCGGGGAAACGGACAAAGAGGTGACCAAAACTGGACATTATCTTTGCCGAAAAGCAGGGAAAAAGCGAGCGATGCGGGCCAAATCATAGGCAAACATCAGTATTCAGCATTCAGCATCAACAGAAACATGAACCCACCCCAAACGAAGAAGTGACCAGCGGAGGCTGAGAGCTGACCAGCAAACTGGTTGCTCTGGAAGGAAGATGGAAAGGGTTGATCTCGATGCTCGATGCTCATCTTGGCCGGGATGCGTGTCAAAGTTCAGCGGCAGTTGATGATGCTGACGCTGATGTTGTCCAGTTTGGAAAACCGGCCTGCTTCTGGGTACGAATCCGTTGAAATTTTGATGTGAAAGTTCAGCAAAAAGGAAGGAGGGAAATCTTATAAAAGTTCCTGCGTGTCCTGCCACTGATGCTGGGGCATCGAGCGTGAGAAAGTTTCCCTGTGCCTCAGGATGCAAACTTGTTTGCATCTAATGTCCTGCCGCAGATGCTCGGCCGCCTTGCTGCTGTCTTGAAACCAGTCGCTCCTCTTGGCTCAACAACTACTTAGCCGGCAAGTCTATTTATTCATGCTATTTGGTCAGTTGGCTAATTGCTAACCAAATGCCAAGCAGCCGTCCCAGCCAGCCTCCGAGCATCCCAGCCAAACATTAGCTCACCAAATGGGCAAAAGCCATCCATTGTTTGTCTATAAGTTGCTTCGGTAATTGTCCTCGAACGGAGTCACCATTTAACTTCATCGGGCACCGGCATCACGGTGGATGACGTGGTGCCCCAGCTTATTAGCTTAGATATTCCATTAGGCGCATCGATTACTCAGACATGCATTGATTTTTTCACAACTGACTGCCAATTTCAATGCATAGGCGATGAGACCACGGCCACTAATGAACATCGACTATCCATCGAGGGGATGGCTAAGTCCTGGAGCATTAACTGTTTTCGGGGGCTCTACGGAAACCAAAAAAATATAAAAATACTGATACATTTAATAGTAGCCATTTAATTTATTTTTAAAAAATTAAATTTAAAAATTAAATAAATTTTGAATATTTAAATATTGTAGTTATTTAAAAATGAATAGCAGCATTAATACGGACAACAAATTAATCGCCCTGATTTTTATTCTTGAATGGTTTTGTTTATTTCCAAAATTGGTTGTTCAAATAAATCAAATTTAAAATGTAATTTACATCTTTTCTAAACTATGTAAAAAGTCGACTCATAGGCAAAATGCATTGGGAATTGTAAATAATTTTTTAAGTGTACATAAGGTACATTTTAAAAGCTAAAGCTGGATCATTGAAGTGTTCCTTAATAAAGATACCATAACGACTTTTATAATAAAGTTTTAGGACATTTCTTTAGATTCCATAAGTTTCTAGAAGTTCGTTACAATATCCGGCAATCCGTAGTTAAATAAATTTATGCAGACTGCCCGAGATCAACCAGTTTTCGGTACTTTCAATATAATTTCTGGCCGGGTCCAGTAATTAAGCTGAACCCAAGCACTCGGCTGCTGAGCTGCAGACAGAAGTCAGAATAGTGCGGACACGCAGAAAAAGCCGGTTCTGGGATAGCTTATCTGGCCAATGGCAAGACAAGATAAATTTGGCCTCATCAAAAAACAAGAAAAACCCAAGAAAAAATCGAAACAATGAAGAAACACCCCTAAGAAGAAGTAAAAGCCATCCCATTGCCGAATAAGAGATTATGCGTTTGTAGAGCCTGCTTTTTGGCGCTTCTAATAAACGAAATCCTTTTCATTTTCTCTTAGAAACTAGTTTATTTCTTTTCCTTCACTGCAACAACACTATTTTATCCGCATGATATAAATGCTGTTATTAAGTGGCGCAACTTGTGACGCTTCGTTGGCAATCTCATCGCAAAACAAACCAAACAAAAAACACTTCAAGGTGAAAAGAAGCGCAACAAGCGGTCGTTTGGGAGTGGGTGGTAGAATCGTGGGTGGTAGAATGGTGGGTGGAAGTGCCGACCTCTAAACGTCATCATCGTCGTCGTCTGTTGAGTGCGGAAAACGAGCGCCCCGCAACCGCCTAAAAGTATGCTGCTAAAAATGCAAAACACCTTTAGCGCCGGGTTAGGGGTGAGTTTGCCTCATCTGCGGGTTGGTTTTCAGCGTTTAGCTCGGCAACAAGAAGTTGGGCCAGGATTTGCTGGCCAGCAGTTGCGCAACTTATTGAGGTAGGCACTCTATATGGTCTATCTTTATCTGCGAGATACTCGGGCTTGTGAGGAGCTTGTTCCAAGGGCTGGCTTCCCTGGCTGTCTGCGTCTGCCCTTCGGGGCTGCAGTTCAAAGTTCAAAGATGCCCGGTCAACCGGTTTGCATCTGGACCAGCCTGTCTTCGACTGGACCCAAGGATGTGGACGAGCATCTCCGCATCTCCTCGAGATGTTCTCGGCGGGACGCTGATCAGTTGGCCAGTCAGTTGTGTTTGAACTTTCATTCGGTCGCGTCGCGCTCGCTGTTGTTCATTTCTGTTTTGGCCTTTCGTTATTTGTTGAGCCGAAACGATCTGAGCCCTTGTTTTTCGTTTTTGTGGGATTTCTGTTAATTTTTGATATTGTTAAAAAATATATCATTGTTTTTGTTAACTTTTCGTTAAACATTTGTTCTCAAAAAAATTGTGTTGGAAATTTTGTTAACCTTTACTAAGCACATTGAACATCAAAAAGTAGGTATTTTAAATACTGTGTAATTTGTTGGTGATTTAGACCGAGTGCAATAAAAGAAAATCTCTAATACAGTTCATCGAAGTTCAAAATAAAAAATTAAAAAATCATTATTTTAATTTTCTAGGACCTTCCGTGAAATCCCACCAAACGAAGAATAGAATACAGCTGAAATTCTAATTTCACACAAAATTCTTTCCCTAAAACCCCATGATATTGTTTATCGCTTGGACTTGGCTTTGATTTAGCGAATTTTTTGAGTCGATTAAAAAGTGTGTGAACCCTCAAAACGCATCCGCATCATGGAGCACTCGAATGGTAAACGCAAGCTTAGTACAGACCAGTCCGAGCCACCTCACCCACAGTCCTCGGCGACAATTGGAGGCTCGTCGGAGGGTTGGAGCAGCAAAAGGAAGCTCTATGCCATCGAGGAGCGCGAGGAGAGCTCCCCGGTGACTGTGGGCAAGGCGGAGGCGGATCTGGCCTACGATGCGGATGTGGACGAGCTGGAGCAGCCGGCAGGTGAGCGAGAGATCATCTACGAGCTGTTCCAGCCCTGGGCCCTCAGCACATACGGCGATCAGGCCAAGACCAAGACGATAACGCTGCGCAAGAAGGCGCGAATTCTTAAGGCCCTGGAGGGCAAGGAGCACAGTCGCCCGGATAGCTCCAAGTTTCGCTTCTGGGTCAAGACAAAGGGTAAGGAGTGCCTTCTAACTTGAGGATTTTATGGATTTTCATTGCTTTAATTTGCCGATCTCTCTAGGCTTTACCACCAATCGACCCGAGGGTTTTGAGGAGGCCCCCGGCAGTCGACGGCGTCTGAAACCTCTTCCTAGCTCAGCCATCCTGTCTGATAATCCCGGCGACGTGGACCTTTTTGCCGCCTCCACCAGCAAGGGATTCGGTCGCAGGACTTATCGGAAGGTGGCCTGTGTGGAGGAGTTCTTTGACATCATCTACAATGTGCACATGGAACTGGGAGGCCGCAGCGGAATGCACGCGGGTCAGAAGCGCACCTACCGCATTGTGAGTGTAGTGTACAGAATATCTTACAGATAATAAATATTATAATTATTAGCTTATCTTAATTCTTAAAGTGAATTTAGTAGTAATGAAGAGATTTTTTTAAGAGATTTTATTGCAGATTTATCGTACAGTTACAAATCTTTCTAATAATAGCTTTTAAAAAACGCAATTTTCTATATTTAATTTAAATATATTTAAGATCATCCTTAAAATGTTAACTTAACTTAAACTTCTATTTTTTTCCCAATGCAGATCACCGAAAAACGCAATTTTCTATATTTAATTTAAATATATTAAGATCATCTTAAAAATGTTTACTTAACTTCAACTTCTATTTTTATTCCCCAATGCAGATCACCGAAACCTATGCGTTCCTGCCCCGCGAGGCGGTCACCCGCTTCCTGACCATTTGTCCCGAGTGCAAGAAGAATCTGCGACCCTCCTCGCCATCGGCGGGCGGCAAGGATACCGACCTGGCCGGCAACGAGAGCTCCTCGGAAGTGGAGAACTACCTGAATTATTCATCGCACACGGAGAGCTCGCTGGAGGCGGGGCCCACGGCCAAGCGCCGTCGGCACTCGAGCGCCGACCTCAAGGCCTCGACTGCCAGTGGTTTGGCTGTGGGCGTGGGTGGGGGCGTTTCTGTGGGTGGTCCCGTTGCCAGCAGTTCCAGTGCCACTCAGCTGGACGTCCTGGGGACAGGACCTCCCCAGAGCCGCAGTCCCAAGCCACCGCAGGCAGTTCAGGCGGCTGTTGAAAGCACCCCGGTTAGCGTGCCCAAAATCCGGGTCAAGACTCAGTTGCAGCGTCCGTCGAGTCCGCTAGATCAGTGTCCTGGCAACCCGAATATCACTCCCCAATCTCAAACCTCATCCCAATCTCATCCCCAACCCAGTAGCCAGTGCTTTGATGTACAGCTGCTGAAGTCGCGGGATAATCTCCTCAGATACTATGACTTCATGAGGCGCTTCTATGCCGGCGAACCGGTTTTAGCGCCGCCCATCTACGGCAGCAGCCTGTTGCAGAGCCTCAGCTATCCAACCACCGTCTCAACAACCCCTACAACCCCTACCACCTCTAGCACCCCTACCACCTCAGCCCCTGGCAAGATGCTGGCCCCTCCCAAGGCGGCGACTCCGCCAATGATCAAGACCTCGCCGGACAGCTCGATGCGGGCACGCTCTCCGCCTCCTCCTCCTCTTGCAGATTCAACAGCCAGGCCTGCTGCCGCCGCCAGCAAGGATACCAATGCCCTTACACCGATAAATCTAACGAAATCTATATTTTCCAGCCTGAAAACCGGACATCCAGCCTCCACCTCGACGCCGGTGCCGCTCAAGCTGGAACTGTTGAGTCCGCCGAAACCTCTGCCGGAACTTAGGATCCCCCAACTGCGCGGTCTTCCGCCCGTGGAACTATCACTCCCACTGCCTCCGTTGGATTTAGAGCGATTGAAGCCCATCACCTCGACATACTTGCAGTTGACGCGCAGCATGGGACTCAGCGATGAGGATGCCCTGCGGTTCGACAACCTGGTGAGTAAGGACTTTAAGTACTCCCTCTAGACTTCAAATGAGAACTGATGTTAGATTCCGCCCCCTGTTAAAGGATATAGCTTAATTAGCACAGGAACTGTAACTATCCGATCTCATGTGGGCAATCAAAGTTTTATATTAAATCCGTCTATTTACTTTTAGTCAATTTTTTATGGCTGCTAAAGCTTCACAATGAATCAGTATTTTTTATTACCCACATTTTCATATTGAACCTATTATATTACATTTGAAAGCCCTTGGCGATTGCAAACCTTTATTACAATCTCTCATGAAAAAGTTAAAAAAAAATTAAACAAAATTATATTACCTTTACTTATATATTTTAATATCGTTATTCACTGACGAAGGCAAACAAAGGATGCGTTCAAAAATGTATGCTTTCGTTAACATATTTATGCCAAGTCGAATTTCATATTAGCGCCTAAAGGCAGGCAATGCTTTTTAATTAGTTTCGGCGCAGTGCAAACATTTTTTGCTTCACGTTTGGCTTTAGCTCTTGCAATTACACTTAAGAAAAAATGCTTTTACTACGAATTTCCATACATTTGATCAAACAACAATTTTTTACTAATCTAGTTTCTCTTTTCTCTGACATGCTTGGCTTATAAATGTAACCCAACTAATGCAATGCTAACGAGCGAGAAAGACAATGGCAGAAAAACACCTTTGTCGGCCGCACAACTACCAACGCACGCTGACTACACCCACACAACACTACAGCCAAATCAACCATAACCAAAATGCTTTCGGCCACCAAATGCGTTTCGCCACGAGCTGCGCACAAAATTATGCAATAGTTTTTTCCACGTATTTTAATCATTTTGCCGTGAAATTCCAATTGAATTTCTCGTTCCGCGCTTCCCCTTTGTGTTTTTTATATATAATTTTGATCTCTTAATGCTTGAATTATTTTTGGCTGCAATTTGTTTTTTTTTCGTTTGCTAAAATTATGTTGTTAACCATGCTTAGTCAACTAATGTTATTATTTTAATGTTATTTTGTTGATTTTTTATTTATATTATCCCAATTATTTTTTTCCTTTCTTTTTTAATTTCTTTCAGCTCAGTTGTTAGCGCAAAAACAAAAAATTGTTTGTAATAAATTAGCTATACAATACAATCAATGCTTTTTTAATTAATTTGGCCAGCGATCTGAAAAATAAAGAATATTTAATGTCCCAAACTGTATACCTAAATGCGAGTAGTTTTTGAATAATTTAGAGCGCTTTGTAGTTGCTTTTTATTGATTAGTATAGATGAAAATGCGAAAAGGTAAGTCATTATAAACTATTCGTACATATATTTCACACAAAACAGCCTTATCAAGTGTTCCCCCTATATAAGTATATATATGTTATATTCCACCTCAAGATTGAATCAGACCTCTAATTTTATTGCATGGGTTTAGCCCCAGCTGATAAGCTCATTTATTCAATTGCGTTATTTTTTTCAAGCATTGTTTACAAAATTTAAATGTACTTGATTTACTTTGTGGGCTTTTGCTGTTTAGGCTCCCCTTCAACTCCTTTGACGGAACTCAAAACAAATCTGGCAGTCAAAACTCGCCCATTCTTATCCACTATCGTTTTGACCAATTCCCCATTTCGGTTTTCAATGTCCTCGGGCCTTAGATCCACCCTTTCCAAGAAGTTATCGATGACCTTGTCCGATTCGTCGGCGGCTTCCGGAGGGGAGAGCGTGGGAAGGGGCACCACAGTTCGCGGTGTGGTTGTGGGATCTCTTACGGGAACATAGACAGGATCTCGTTGGCTGGGACGGGGCGAAAATCCAGAGTTAGAATCGAAAGGTCCTGTACGAGATGAGGGAGAGATGGGATTCTGTTCCAAGTCGGGGCTGAGTGGACCAGGTTCCCTCGATATATCGGGAAACAGCTGATGGAAGACATTACTTCCTGGCGCAAATGTGCCGGAATAACTCCTCGTTGTGGTGGTCACCTTACGTCCCTGATTGTCCACTTCCGTCTTGGTCGTGACTTGCGGCTTCACGCCGGCGGGCACCTCCCAGTTGGGGAATAGTGGAGCCCTAGCAAAACTCGTGGAAAATATACTGGGATCGAAATTACCCATTCCGAAGCTAGATTCTCCCGTGGGACGATGCTGACGTACGGAGTTCGGTAAAAGTTCCCACTGCTCTCGGGGCTGCGATGCGGAACTTTCCTCTAGCCTGGCAGGCGATGAAAGTGACGATTCCTCGACAAGCCTCCTTCTTGAAATCGACCTGCCATCGGGACTTAGTTCAAAGGTCACCGAAGTCAGCTGACCGGCATCGTTTTGATTCCTGGTAATCAGCGGCTGCCTGGTTCGCCACAATTCACGCAAGCCAACTTCATCCAATCCAATGGTCTGGGCCGCATAAATAAGTTCCCTGCTGGGCTCTTCGGCGGTGGCTGTTGCTGCTGCCGTCTATAAGCAATAGATTATGTCACTCTGGGTTTTTTTTTGGGGTTTTCCATGACCTACCTCCAGTTTCAGGAGCAGCAAACTGGCACAGATTGCCAGAAGATTTGCGTACTTCATTCTCGTTTCTCGATCTTTCCGCTACAGTTGTGTTCACCTCGATTGCCTGAGTCGAACTAAATTGATAGTACTAATCGGCCAAACTGGCGGATCCTACACGGAGGGGCTAGCATAAGGTTATCGTCTGGTTTCGCACAGTCTCCCTTATCAAAGAGTGCAAATATAATATGATATTTTTCCCATGACTTTCATTGCGTCTAATTAAACTGGGTTTATTTTCAAGGTTCTGAGAATACAAATTAAAGTACATAATTATAACTAAATTTATTTGGGAATTTATTAACAATTATAAGAAATATTATTATCCCTGGCTTATAAATCTTTAATTTGAGGTGAAATTTGTTGCAAAAATATATATGGTTATTTTATGGTGGGCCTTTTTTCTAATTGACGCCACCTCCCTGCCCTTTGTCATCGCTCAGAGCAAAACTGGCCTTTAAAACTCGCCCTTGCTCATCCATGATCGTCGTGACAAACTCCCCATCCTCCTCCTTAATGTCCGCCACGGTGATGTCCACCTTTCCCAAAAAATCATCGATGCTTGTGTCGGTTCCATTTCTTCTGGGTGCCAAGGTGGGCAGGGGGACGAGAGCTCGCTCCGTTGTAGTTGTTTGTTCTAGATTTGGCACCCAAAGCGGCGGCGAATCGTCGAAATTCGGGGGTGCCAGTGTGGGCCGGGGAACCACAGTTCGTGGAGTCGAAGGTGGACGCGGCAGCCATGGATCATTATCGTCGGATCTATTTGGTATACGTCCTTGTGTGTTGGGCACATCTTGAGGGGGGAAGCTCGGCATATTGCGTCCATTTAAACTGGGATCTTGGGCGGGAATATATATCGGGTTGGGTTCATTGAATACGGGATCTTGTTCTCCTTTAGACGGTCTATATTCCGGATTCGGTTCGTTTGGTCTACCGCCTCGTGGACAATTACATTGTGGTAAATCGGGAAGACGCGGAAGGAACGGATTGGGTCCGTAGTTAGGTTTATGCAAGTTTTTAAAGATGTTAAAGTCGGGAAAACCGAATCCAACCGGATTGATGAAGGGATTATTGAAGACACTGGCCAGTTGACGCAGCTGGTTGGATAGAAAGTCCAAATTTTCCTGAACTTGTACAGAAGAGGGTCCACCGTCTTCTGGATACCTCCACTCATAGTGTCTTTGCGTGCTCCTCAAAAGATTTCTTCCATTGGGACTGAATTCGTAGGTGTCCGTAATCACCTCATTGGAATTTGGTTTCCATGTGACTATATACGGCCTTTTGGAGAGCCACATTTCATTCAATATTTCCTCAGTCAAGTTCCATTTCCGCCCCTGGGAGTAGAGAGACGGGTCGATTCCACCGCGCGTAGCTCTGGCGGCTCCCATCTAGATAAACACATTTTTATTTCGCTTGTGGGAAAGTGGGAAATCCAATGACCTACCTCCAGTTGGGGGAGCACCAAGCTGGCGCAGATAATCACAAGATTAGCGTAGTTCATTGTTGATATTTTCCGGGCACTTGCAACCGCTTCGATTGTCGGGTTCAAACTGAACTTGATTCCGCGAGCATAGCATCGCGATTTGCCGATCGATGCTGATCACCCCAACTTGTATATATATAAATCTATATTCTTAACGAGTCACGTTTTCAGCTGGTTATTCAGGGGCTATCGTTTTGTTGAGAGCTACTCTATCTGAATGGGATTTTTTGGCAGTTATGTTGATTTATTCAAAGTTATTTCGAATCGAAATTGGGATTTTCATATTAACGAAACTTTTTGAAATATTAGTAAGACACAGAAGCTCTGAGTGAGCTGTGCCTTTTTTAAAAACCATATACGCCTGCTATTCGTCAACCAAGAAGACCGGTTTTTTGCAGTACATGTTGCATATTAACACATGAAAAACAAGTCAGCCCGCTGTCGACCTTAAAGTACTCATCATTTAGCTATCGCTTATTTCTCAAACACTACGAAAATTCAACACTTTTGATTGCAAATCTATAGTTCTGTAATCTTTATTCCTTTACTTTGAAAGGGTATTTCTCTTCTTAAAAGTCATAATAAAACTTCTAGGTTATACCCGGGTATTCAAATTGCTCATTAGTGTCTATTAAATTGTATATAAAAAGCTTTGCATTTCTTCATTGCAAAGCCTACAACCTCAAGTTGTTGAAAGCTGTGCACAAGCGTTATACAAGTTAGTTTTTCGATTATTAACTTGAGTTGTTTAAGTTCCACAAACCTTGCTGATTACAAATTTGTACTTCCGTAAATATGATTTTTCTGAAGCTAACGTATATGAAATACAAATATAAAATTTAAAATAAAAACAAAAAAAGATAAGAAAACAGGGCTTAAACTTTTTATTTTTCTTTTAACTTTTTTAAAATGCCTTTTTTTTCTTTTTAAAATATATTGATCCTGTTTTTGCATCTAAATCGTCTAATTTTAATGATAAATGTTCCCTGTGTATATTTTCTTTCTTAGAAATAATAATTACCCTTATCCCTTTACTAAAGAAATTAAAACAGTTGAAGCGATAAAATTAGCTTATATTGAAAATACTACTAATACATAATACAATATAGACAGACAAATGTATAAAGAGCAAGCGAATTTTTTCACCGTTCCTCGCAAGATAGCCAACAAACATAAGGTATAGCAAAAATGAAATCTTTCTAACATATAAAGTTCCAAATAACTGACACACACGTTATTATGACATGGAAAAAATAAAAGTGTACCCATTGCCTCTCCCCATTTCGATGGCAGTGAGCATGTGAATGGGTGGCTGAGATAGGATATTGAAGATGTAGCCCCACCGATAGGACGGCATTAGGTGGACTTAAGGGACCGGGGGGCGGGGGCCACGGTCCAGCAACGGTCGCTGAAGGGTGCAACAGCAGGACCGGACTTCGGCAATGGCCATGCAGGATTTACGCTAAAAAGACGCCATAAACCTTGAATGCCGGCAGAGAGGAGGAAAAAAAGGGACCGAAATTGGAATTTGATAGACGCCCGGTTCTCTGGTCCTCTGGTTCTCTGGTCCTTGCTCGTGGCCCCGTGGCTGCTCCCCACATCCTTGCCGGAGTCCTTGCGCAGAGCTCAGAGGCCGTTGCACGTATCCCCAAACCCTTTTCGTCCTTTTCCACTGGCAGGGCGGAGGAGAAGGCGGGGGTGTCGGCAAGGCAAGTATTGACGACTTTTTAAAAGGGTCGAACGAACGTCGACGTTGTCAGGGATAAGGGGTTGAGTTCGGCCAGGACGAACATGGCTTAGGGGGTGGAGAGGGAAGAGGGACGGGGGCTGCGTTGGCGCGTGCTATAAACCAACCGATTTTAACGCTTTACAGGTGAGGCCAAGCGAGGCGAAGGTGGTGTCTGTGCCTGTGAGGGGGCGGTGATTGGGTGGCCGGCCAAAGTTATAAAACTTTACAGTTAACTAGGCTTGGCAATCAAGCTAAAAGCAAAGGCGTCGTCCTCGTCCATGTCCTGTTGCTACCTCGGCTCCTGTTCGGAGTCCCGCCTGGCGCCATCTAGCGACATTTGCCGCAGTCAGTCGAAAAACAAAAAAAATAGAAGGGGCAACACCCGACGAGTCCGTGCCCCTCTAAATGTGGACAGGTCAACACCCACTTGACCGTAGGGGTGTGTGTGAGTGTGTGTCCTCCGAGTCCTCGTCCTCCTCCCAGTTGGGTGAGTCAGTTTTGGTTCCTCAACCTCCCACACAGGCCCCACCACCCAAAGGGTTTGGCTTGACCAATGTTCCGTGAGTTTGTCCAAATCGCTTTTGCCACCGCTTTTTTCGGGCTGATTTTTTACCCGTTTCATTAAATTTGGGGCATTTTTTCACGGAAGTTTCATCTGTTGGTGATTAAATCCCGTTAGTTTTGGGTAAAATAAGCTGATTTTTAAAAAGTAAATGTAATTTAGTTTTATTGATCATATCAAAAGAACAAAACTGTTGATTTTATACCTTGCTAGTTTAATTTAACATAGGATCTTCTTCAGCAGGAATATATTTAAATTTTGTCGCGACTTGCGGGATATTTTTGGCTTATAAAATGAAGTGAAAACCAAATTATACAGTTTACAAGATACTCAATATTCCATGCAGCTGGATCAAAAATTATTTTCTTTTGGATATTTTCAATTTTGTAATTTCACCAGACCCCTATAAAATATTTAAGATTTTAAAGCTGTTGAAATCTTTTTTTGCAAGCAATGAAATGAATTTAATTTAATCTTTAATATAAGCTTGTTTTGCCGAGAATCACACATTATCCAATGGCATTGAAATAGACTCAAGGGTATTTCGTTTTAATATATATAGTGTATGGGGCCATAAACCATTAAGACCCAAACAGTAGTACAGAATTTATGTAAATCCCGCTTTAGTGTTAGGGGACTGAGAAAAAATTGGAAGCCATCAGCTATGGGCACGCACCCACCCCAAGAGGGAGTCCTCTTCCTGCCGACCCATGGCCACACACCCAGCTCTAACCCCAGGTCCCAAGCTTCAAGCTCCAAGTCCCAGACCCCCGAACCAAACCTCAAAAACTGGGGACCGGAGCGACTGTCTGTCAGTCGGTCGATGGGCGGGGAACGGAGTTTTAGTGCCTCTGGAACATGGGTCGGGCACTTCTTCATTAATTTTCATGGCGGCACAAGAACAATGCCACGCCCCCACCCGCCCAGCGAAGCGGAGGAAACAGAAATGTTGGAGCGGCGAAAGCGAAAAAAAGTTTCTCCAGCTCGGACCAAAGTTGTGGGTGTGTTTTGTGCAAATGAGTGAAGGTGGAGACGCGTTTCTCGTCCTTTTTGCTGTGTGCGTCTGTGTGGGTATATCTCTATCCCTGTATCTGTGTGAGTGTGTGTGTGTGGGTTGATTACTTTCTGTTTAGGTGCCCGTCCAAGTCGCCACCCTGCCAGAACCCCAACCCAGTTGCCTTTCGAAAAGGGACTTCTGAAGGCAAAAACGCATTTTTATGTTTGCTCGCCCGCCCGTCGTCTAGCGGTCCTTATTCTCTTCCCTTTTTTATATACCGTAAGCAGGATGCGAAGCCCTTTTTTGCGCCCAGCCACACCCAACGATCCACCGAAGGCAGGGGGTTTTGTCTGCCGGGCAGGGACAATCGTCCCAGCCCCATCGATGTCTGGTCCTGGTCCTTGGTCCTGGAAAAATTGCAATTTTCGCTGAGGAAAAAAGCCAAGACAACGTCTTGGAGTCGCTTTGACATGGCCAGGGACCAGTTACCCTGCACCTCTCCCCTAGGGCTGCTCTAATGAATTTCCGTCCAGGCAACTGGGCAGCATCCCCGGCAAAAGGGAAAAAATAAGAGAGGAGAGCGAAAAAAACAATTAAAGTAGGATTTGCTGGGAAGAATGGGCCAACGCACCCATAATCATAATTGCGCGCCCGAAACTTGTCGATTCTTTAGACTCCCTTTCGTCCGCCCATCGACCCCTTTTCCTTCTAATTGTCAATCCCCCTTTTGCTTAATTGTCCACTGGGCTCCCCAGCTTGTTTCCTTTTCAAAGCTCGCTTGTTCTTTATTCAGGGTTTTTTGGAAAATTTTCACTTGCTTTTAATTTGTCAATTCGGTTGGAGTTTTCCTTGCTGGGCTATTCCACCCGATTTTTCTCATCTTTTTTTTTTGTGACTACTGTTGGACAATTTTCCTGTTTGCTGATGAGTTGTCGAACACGGTGGCAATTACTTATTTTGGCTAGCCTCGAGACTTGGGTTTTAATTACTTGTTGGATTTGAATAAGTGCTGCGTTTATGGCAGGGATTGAAGGGAGTTTAATTGTGAACTTGTTTAAGTTTCTTCTTCAATCTAAGGAATTCTGAGGGACTGCGTTTAGCAAACTTTTTGAGATTTTTACAGAGATTACAACAAAACTTAAAAGATGTCCATACATAACTGTTACTTAAATTTTTTTTTATCAACATTAATACAAAAATATCAGAAAATATTCGTAAGGTTTTCTTTTAAATTTATATTAAATATTTATTAAAAATTCTATACTCACTTCACCAAAACAACGAATTTATTAAAAATAATTACAAAACAACTAAGGAAGTAAAATGTAGCTTAAAGTTGAGTATTTCCCATATAATATATGAGTGATCAGGTATAAGACGAAACAATATTATGGACTTCTCCTGAATCATCCTTCGATTACAGTTTCTTTGAGTGCCCTCCTTAAAGACACGGTTCCCCCAATCAATAGTCCATCCATGTCAAAAAACAATTTGACTCCAATTACCGAAACACTAAAAAGATGCACCGAAAAGGGGAAGAGGAAGTAAAAAAGAAACCGTTCATTGCTACCGATTGAACTTCCGATGCGACGACAAAGCGACAACAGCAGACGGCACGAACGATGACGTTGATGGCAAATAAACAAAAGATTAAGCCCAGACAATAGTAAACAAACCGCATCAAAGTGGGGAAACCGGAAGCGACAAAAAACAAAAAAACAAAAATGGAGAGCAACAATCAAATAATGAATTCCTTTGGCAAACGACAAATTGATAA